AAAGGTTGGGGACCGCTGATTAAGAGGACCCGAGGGAAGCTCGGAAAGCTAAGCAGAAGTTATTTGGAGAGGAGAGTGACTGCAGTTGGTTGAAAAGAGAGGTAAAAAAACTTCAGTGGTGTGGAAACATTATGGGTTCGCGGAGTCAGACGTGGATCAAGTAGACATAGTGTGTAAACTTTGCTACAGTCTCGTAGCTGCACCACAGAGCAACACTGCAAAGTTCACTAAACATAGATGTTTACATTTTTCATTTATTTCTTATATTGCAAACATTTGCACTGTTATCAGTATTTGCACACTATTTTATATTATTTTTTGACAATCTTTAAAGTCATTATTCAATACATTGTTATTGTTAAATAAATATCATCAAATAATTCAGTGAAAATAATCGTGATTATCATTTTTGCCATAATCGAGCAGCCCTACCGTACAGTAATAATAATAATAATAAACTTTATTTATAAAGCACACTTAAAAACCAAGGGTATAACGCTGAAAACCGATAAAAACCCTGAAAACTATACATTTCACACCTGAGCCTCAACTCTCGCGGCCCGGTACCAAACGACTCGGCATACGGTACTTTACTGTATGCCAAGGTGCTTAACAAGTAAGATAGAGAATAGGAGGAGGATAATAGAAATAGGACCAAAGCAAGTACTAAGTATGCAAGGAGGTAGCTGTCACTGATACATAGGAAAGCAACAGGTAAAGAGCAAACAAGAATTTAAATGAGCATAAAAGTGCATGATATAAAATCATAAAAGAAATATTAACTAGAGGGAAAGGCAAGATTGAATAAGTGGGTTTTTAGTCATGATTTGAACAGTGCAATGGAATCAGATGCGCGGAAGTCGAGAGGAAGGGTATTCCACAGTACCGGGGCAGCTAGAGCAAACGCACGGTCACCCCGGGACTTCAGCCGAGATCTGGGTTGGGTCAGAAGTAGTTGAGTGGCATATCTGAGTGTTCTAGCAGGAGTATGTGGTTTGAGAAGTTCACTAAGATAACTTGGTGCTAATTTATTAATAGTTTTGAATGTAAGGAGTAATATTTTAAATTGAATACGGTACTTTATGGGCAGCCAATTCAAGCTAGCTAGAACAGGAGTAATATGGCAAAATTTCCTGGTACCAGTCAAGAGGCGGGCTGCTGCATTTTGGACTGTTTGCAGTCTAAGAAGAAGAGAAGAGGGAAGACCGTAGTACAAGGA